AAAAAAAAAAAAAAAAGAATTTAAATAAAATTGATTTGGATGTAGTAAAGGTGTTATAAGAAAGAAATAAAGCAGAGTAAAAGGATAGAGTGGAACTACAGATGGGGGGAGTAGTATTTTAGATTACAGTGATTAAGGAAAGCTTTTTTGAGGAAATGACATTTGAGCAGAAGCCTTAAAATGGAGTAGAAGAGCCAGCCACTGGAGGGATTCAAGGAGCTGGCATTCCAACTAGAGAAAATAGTGTTCACTGTGTTGAGCTAAACCAAAATTAGTCATAAAAGAAACTATGGTAAATCCATTGTGGAAGAAGACAAATGCCAGATTATGAAAAGTCTCATAGGCTAAGTAAAAAGCTTGGATTTTATTCTAAGTTGAATTCTTGGAGGACTCGTATTGGACAAGGATCATATATTTTTCGTGTTGGTGTTATTTCTAGTATGTGGCACGTACTAATTTCCCAATAACTTAAATTTTTAATACATGAATTATATATGAAGGTATGGTACAAGTGGCCACCACCTTTGAATTGAATTTGAATGAAATAACCAAGATATGAAGAGCTTGGTATCTTAGTTTGCTTAGTGATTCCTCACCATCTAAATGTTTTATTTGTATCCAGAACCTGAATATTAATGTATATACTAAGATGCTTTTCATGATTATGGGTATATGAAAGCTTTTAATGTTTTCTAATATATAGAGTTGTATAGATGTCATAAATGCCTCTGTATTTTAAAATATAGGTAGGAAAAAACTAGGCTGAAAATTAAAATTTGTCAGTGTTTTTTTTAAGGTGTGATTTAGAGATATTCTCTCTAGTTTCCTGTAATTTCATAGTTAAAAGTTAGAAATTATATAGTGTTTTATTGTGACAATAAAGGACATGTTTCTTCCATTTACTTCATGGGTTCAAGTGTGCTGAATTGATTGCTATTTGAAGCTCATTTATTATTCTTTGCATGGCTTTGTCGTAGCCTCGAGCTGTGGCAGGGTTTCGAGGGACAGTTCGTTATGCATCAATCAACGCTCATCGGAACAGGGTAGGTATCTGAACTAGAGTCATATATGTATAAGTATGCCAGTATCTTAAATCAGATTGACTTCTTTATAAAGTAAAAAGATGTGGAAAGTGCTTGAGAGTTGAGGATCTCTTTAATAGCTACAAAGTTACTTGGAATATTTGTTCTGATTCATTCTTGTGTGGCATCGATGGTAAAGGAGTTGGTAATATGAATGTACAGTAAAGTATATAGTGGATAACAGATATGTGCAGCTGCTTGGAAAATAAAATTGGATTTGCCAGAAAAGACAGTAGCTGAGTGTATTTCTGTCTGTGGGAAATCTGTGTCCTTAATTAGATACAAGGATTAACAAATTTAATAAAGAACTTTGGGAGACTGAGGTGGGCAGATCATGAGGTCAGGAATTCCAGATCAGCCTGACCAACATGGTGAAACCCTGTCACTACTAAAAATACAAAAATTAGCTGGGTGTGGTGGCGCGTGCCTATAGTCCCAGCTGCTTGGGAGGCTGGGGCAGGAAAATCGCTTGAACCCAGGAAGTGGAGGTTGTGGTGAGCTGAGATTACGCCACTGCACTCCAGCCTGGCTAACAGAACGAGACTCCCTCTTAAAAAAAAAAAATAATTATATATATATATATATAAATAAAAAATATGTATGTATCTATATAATTTGGAAGACATTGAACATCTGTGTACTATTTCCAGAAATTATTTGGGAATATAATACTATCAATACCTAATGAAATGTGGGACTCAACATTTTATCTGTAATATGTATCTAATCTTTGATATCCCTCTTTCCACCAAATCTTTTGCTTTCATGAAGAGTACAGACAATTTTACAGTTTTCATTTTAATAAATTATCCCTTTCCTCTTGAGTTAAATTTTAAAAATCTCTCCCTTCACCCCTTACTTTGGTTCTTTTGTTCTGTGCCAACCTCCCCCCCTCATCCTGAACTTTAATTATGAGCAGGAAAAGTGGGCATTTTTATGGATAATCAATCCTTTAACTTGTTTGCATGGAGTTGAGAAATTTAACAAGTGATTCCTTGATAGAATAGGGTAAAAGTATTTTTTCTTGATACTTTTCTTTCCTTGTTCCTGTTCTGATAAGCCAAAATTGCTTTAATGAGAACTTGAACAATATCTAATAGGAAGAGTATACTGCGGTCTTACATAGTATGCTCCAATTAATTTGGTTTCTTATGGCATGATTATAAATTGAAAATAGTAAAGTTGTTTTTCTCAGTGTGTAGCACCCTGGCAAGCATTTAAACCCATATGGTTTGATTCAGTGTTGCTTTCCTATATGATACCTAGTTATTTTCTTTGCCTTGGAAAGAAGTTCTCTTCTTTTCCTGATAGATTCTTATAAAAGTTTAGAAATACTAGGTTTTCCAAATAATTTTATTAAAGAATTATGTCAACATTGGAATCTGTGAAAACATTATTAAGATAAGCATAAGTATTTTCTTTTCTTTTCTTTTTGGAGACAGAATCTTGTTCTGTTACCCAGGCTGGAGTGCAATGGCGCGATCTCGGCTCACTGCAACCTCCGCCTCCTGGGTTCAGGCAATTCTCCTGCCTCAGCCTCCTGAGTAGCTGGGATTACAGGCATGTGCCACCATGCCCAGCTAATTTTTCGTATATTTAGTAGAGACGGGGTTTCACCATGTTGACCAGGATGGTCTCGATCTCTTGACCTCGTGATCCACCCACCTCGGCCTCCCAAAGTGCTGGGATTACAGGCTTGAGCCACCGTGCCCGGCCCAGCATAAGTATTTTCAGAGATTGTAATAGCTATATAAGCATTTTCAAAATAGCTAATAGAAAGAGAGTATATACTTTTATTGTTTTAATTTACAAAGTGGAGATTTCTTCTAAAAGCCTTTCCAGCGTAGAGTGCTCTAACAGTTACTTAGATAACTTGCTTATTTGTTACTCATCTAACCTTTTGGAGGAATTTGATAGTATATAGAAGTGGTTCTTAACCCTGTTTTCTGCTCCCAGCACACCTGATGGGTAGAATGCTTTTACACAGCAACATAGTTCAGAGTGATTGTTACTTTATGAGGTGATGCAGGAGTGTAACTCTTGGAACCTCATTGCTTGTCTTAATCTTAAAAGGATTCCCAGATAATTCTAACATGCTTCTTTTTTTCCATATTCTGCAACCCTGATTTAATAATATCTAAAAATAATACACCCCATTTCTCTTTTTCTGGCTTCTTAAACTTTATTTTTTAGAGAGCAGGTCCTTATTCTGTTGCCCAGGCTGGAGTATAGAGGCAGGATCTTAGCTTAATATAATCTCAAACTCCTGGGCTTAAGTGATCTTCCTGCTTCAGCCTTCTGAGTAGCTAGGACCACAGGTGCGCACCACCATACCTGGCTATTTTTTTTATTTTTTTGTATAGACAGCCTTGCTACATTGCCTAGACTGGTCGTGAACTCCTGGCCTCAAGCAGTCTTCTAACCTCAGTCCCCCAAAGTGCAAGGATTACAGGTGTGAGCCACCATGCCTTGCTAAATCTTAAACTTTTTACATAAATAATTCTTAATACAAGGAATTTTAAAAACACTTGAACTCTGTCATGCTGCGTTATTGCTGTTTTACATTTTAATCTTATTAATATTTATCTCAATACTTTGAAAAAATTACTTTCTTCTGCTTCTTGAGTCACTGTTGAGAAAATCTTTGTTCCTTTATTGTTACTTTGTATTTAATTTGTCTTTTTAAAAATTTTATTTTATTATTTTATTTTTTGAGAGAGTCTTGCTCTGTTGCCCAGGCTGGAGTATACTGGCATGATCTCAGCTCACTGCAGCCTCAATCTCCTGGCTCAAGCAGTCCTCCCACCTCAGCCTCCTCAGTAGCTGGGACCGCAGGCATGCGCCACCACACCTTGATAATTTTTGTATTTTTTGTAGAGACAGGGCTTTACCATGTTGCCCAGGCTAGTCTTCAACTCCTGAGCTAAAGCGATTCACCTATCTCAGCCTCCTAAAATGCTGGGATTAATCGGCATGAGCCACCGTGCCTAGCCAATTTGTCCTTTTTATTTTAATACTTTTGGTATCTTCTCTGTCTTTGGAGTCCTATGTTCAAATGTGCCTAAGTGTGGATTTTTAAATATTTATCTGATTGGGATTTGATGTATTTCCTGACTGAAATGTTAATGTCTTTCCTTGATTCTGGAAGATTTTCATATTCCCTTTTTCCCTTTCTCTTTATATCCTTTTTCCCAGATGGCCAAATTGATGTATTAGACTTTCTTAGATTTTCTTATTTCTCATTTTCTTATTTACCAGATTTTCTAATTATTTGTGTCTCTTTGCTGCATTCTAGATAATTTCTTCAGATCTGTTTTCCAAATTGATTTTTTTCTGCAGTGTTTCATGAGCTTTTAATTTTTATCATTGTGCTTTTTATTTCTAGATGTGCTTTTTAGTCATTTTTCAAATCTGATTGGGTTTTGGTTCATTTTTATTGAATATAGTTATTTTTCACTGACTTTGACTCCATTTTTTAAACATTTTAAACATTCTTCATATCCTATAATTCTATTTCTGAAATCCTTGGATACTTTTTTCTGCTCTTTGTAGCTTCTTTTGACATTAATTTATTAACATATTTTATAAATTTGAATAACGAACATATGTTTGGTGAGGCTTTTTCTATAGTACTTCTGTGAGATCTGAATTTAGGGATGTATTTATCCTGAGAGGATAAATTTACTTCTGTTATTCCTGCAGGGCATGATTACTCAGAAGTCAATTTCAAGTTAATTTCTGGGCTTGGTTTTTCAGACCACACAAGTACATATTTAACCCCCAACTCTAAATGAGGGGCAGGACTATGGTAACAGACTCTCAGGGCAATTTTTAAAAAACCCGTTTTTTTTTTTTCTTTGATAGCAGCTAACTTTTACAGAACAATTATTACAGTATAATGTACATACCAAATACTACACCAAGGATGTAACCCTTTTAGGGTCCTAGCTATATGGTTGAGGTGGGGTATATCTCAGTTACAACTCCTGTCCTATATAGGTGCAATGCCTTTACTCCTGTCCCCTTCCTGGTTGATAAACTCATGACAGATGCCTCCAGAGCAGCCAAAACTTCAGCATCATCTTGCTTCCCTTATTTCCACCTTTAAAAAAAATAGCTTTTAAGAGTTCTCTTTCTTCTAAATGAACACATTAACTAATGGACTGTTTATGTTATTGCTAGCATTTCTATGTTTTGAGGTGTTCTTTATTTCAAAAGCTTTTTCAGTTCATATATTCTGTCAAATAGATTGCTATGTAGCTATGTAAATTTATAGATATATTTACCATATAATTTTTTGGAGAAATAAGTTTCCATTTTTCACCTAATAAGGTAAAACAAAATGGTTAGGGCTTGACCAATGTAATGTACTCAGAAGTAATAGTAATGTAATGTGACTGACTTCTGTTTTGTTTATGAAGGAAATGGGAAGACATGATGACCTTTGGTCCTTATTCTACATGTTGGTGGAATTTGTGGTTGGTCAGCTGCCTTGGAGAAAAATAAAGGATAAGGTAATATTGGGAATGGAGATGTCAATTTTATTGGAAGAAATAAAAATTTCTCCTGAATAAACATTTTTGTTGAAAATATACTCATGTATAAGACTTAAAATCTACGAGGACTTTTACTGTATCCCAATATGTATATTTGTCTCTCCGAGCTGACATTAGAGATCAAATTAATGTTATGACATTTTCTGTGTACATATAGAATGCATACTAATTGCTTCTGACTAATTTAAAGCCCTCCATCTTAACTTTTAATTTCATTAGTTCTCTCCTTTGTTTTTATAAGTCAAGTAAGCTTTTAGTTTTTGGTTGTCACATTATATTGTTTGATGTAGAAAACGGTAAAGACGTGTTGATAAAGAAAAATATATCAGATTTAAGATAAATTATTTTGAGATGGGTGCAATGGCTCACATCTATAATCCCAGCACCTTGGGAAGCTGAGGCAAGAGGATCAATTGAGCCCAAAAATTTGAGCCCAGGCTGGATAACATAGCAAGACCCCCATCTTTACAAAAGATTTTTTAAAATTACCTCGATATGGTGGCATGTGCCTCTAGTCCCAGCTACTTGGGAAGCTGAGGCAGGCGGATCACTTGAGTCTCAAAGATTGAGGCTGCAGTGAGTTGTGATCGTGCCACTGCACTATAGCCTGGGTGACAGAATGAGACCCTGTCTGAAAAACTAAATAAATAAATTATTTCTTTTGGGGACTATGAATACACTGATGCAGAACTCTGTGCTACTTGTTTTATTCTGCATTATAGTTTTCTTCTCCTTTAAAACACTGTACATTAAGCCGTCAGTAAGAGCTCAGCTCTTGCTTTATGCTTAATTACCCACTATCTCATTTCCTAGTACATACCCTTGAGACTGTTACTGGGGAGCTCTTAATGCCTAACTGCCAGGAGAAATTGACTGGAGCTCTTTTTCTCTTTACTTCTCAGGAGCAAGTAGGCTCTATTAAGGAGAGATATGACCACAGGCTCATGTTGAAACATCTCCCTCCAGAATTCAGCATCTTTCTAGACCATATCTCTTCTTTGGATTATTTTACAAAACCAGACTACCAGGTAACCACCTTTGTGAGTTTTGTGGGTTAGTTATTTTCTCTCTTAGTCTCTGCTTTTATTCATTGTAGCTTTGAAGATGTTGTAAGTGAGTGGAGGAGGTCCTTAGAATAAGACTGTTTTAATACATTCTGTGTAACATGGTGAAATTAACTTATAATAAGAGTATCAGTATGTGCATTATGTGTTTCATCCCTCTGGATGGACTTAGCTATATTAGAGTTTTAGGTTTGTTCATCTTGTAACAGATGTTGATCTTGTAACTGTTCCTGTGTGATTCATTTGGTGTATAGAACTGCTGATAGTTGAAATTATATAAATTCTATAGCTAATTTGTTGACCAAAAGGAAATGTCCAACTAGGTAATATATCTGTCAAGGACTTTAGGGCAGCATATCGTATGTTAATGTGCTATGAGACAGCAGTCAGTGAAAACTGGCTCCGTTTTGTCTGTGGTCAGTGAATCATTTCCTTAGAGCATCAGTTAATGACGCCTTAGTAGGGTCTACTAGGTTTACTACAAATTGCATCGCTAACCCCAGCCGGCAGTATTTCAGAAGATTCTGTTGCTCTCAGGGAGAACTTGGTCAGGACTTAATGCAAAATAACTGTTATCACTGAAAACTTAAAGCAGCCACACATAGACTGTTAACAATATGTATTAGTATATCATTCTTATTTACAAAAGACAACGGATAGACTTCACTGCGTGTTAATGGAAGTTAAATTTTATTTTTTGTTTTTGTTTTTGTTTTTTTTTTTTTTTTTTTT